CCAGCTTTTGCACAGCAACATTAACTTGCCAATGAGAAATGGTACCATGAAATTTTTTTTTAAATGATTATCTCATAAAATTTCTATTTTTTCGTTACTGGTTTTTGTCTGATCTGTTGATCGTAATAAAGGAAATAATTACCACATCAGTATTATACTTGGTGTTCTCTCCAATGAAATTAAATGTGACAGATGAGGCATATATTTTTATTTCTATTGTTTACCTTATGAGTATGAAATGTTTCTTGCATCAAGCACATTTTTAAAAATGTAACAAGAATTTTCAAGGACTTTCCAGCTCTTATTTAAATAGATCTGCAACTAACAAATGAATAGTATTCAGAATGGCATGTTCAAAAAAATGCCTGTGCATATTATTTGGAATGCACTTTAGGGAAATCTTCTCTAAACTCTCTGTTTAAAATTTAATAGAACCACTTTACTCCCATTAGTTTTAGAGATTTAAGTGCATTTCTTTCTAAAAGAAACCTTGCATATTGAGATGGAGAAACAACCATTAAAGTGTAACTGGAACTGATTTATTCTTGAGTTTACAAATTACCATACAATATGTGTAAATATGCATCACATAATAACCCAAATCATCATGTCTTAAACATGTAAAATACCATCTATAAAGAAATGGAAGAGGATGTCTTTTTTATGTCTACTCTTCATTCACTCCACTAAGAATAAGATGAAATACACCCATCCAAGAAAAATATAATCCACTTGTAGCCTAATTTTTGTTATCTGTTTATCCACTCTACCTTGAGAGCCAGAGTTAGATAATATAATGCTTCTGCACTCATCTTTAGAACAGATGCCTCTCAAGTCTGCCTTTCAACACCTAACCTCTCTTTTTTTCCCTACCTAATATCGTAACTCATGTCTTGCTGACATTTCATCATTACATCTCTGTTGAATATGGTGGTCAGAGACATTTATCTTTCTTTCAAGCAAAAGTACCTTTTCTTCCAAAACTCAACATCCTTGATGGAGATAATGCTGTTCTTTGCCCGTACCCAGCCATCACACAACCGTGAGGTCACTTTTGACTAAGATGCTGGATCCATATTTTTTAAAAGACTGATCCAGTTCACATTTTTAAAATTAATACACAGTTCTGAATTTCAGACATCTTTTGGTCTACTGCAGTCAGCTCAAAAATTACATACGAAATGTAGCAGGGAATGTCGCTTTATGAAAACGTGTGTCTTTTTATACAGATTTCCCTCTCACCTAACTGCAGACAGGTGTGGAAATGCAATAGAAAGGACTTGTCTGTTTTATTATATTTCTGTCCCACATTTTGTCCAATGAGCTCAAAGAGGCAAACATTGTTTTTTTTCCTGTTCACTTTTTATCCTCACAAGAACTCTGCAATAGAGCAAGCTGAAAAAAGAGTGGCTGATCCAAGGTTCACAGTTCAGTGGGGGCTGAACCTACTTTTTCCACGTCCCAGTCCTAAAACTTTAACCACTTTATTAGACTGATATCAGATGCCAAACATATATATGCAAAATTGGCAAATATATACTGATTGGTCAATTCCTGTTTTTGACTATGACATATTCTATTACATCCCCTTCTGTGCATGCTCCTCGCATATCAGAACTCCCTTTCTTTCTTTCCTCCAACCTGATCTTTATGGGAGGAATTTGGGATTAATTCCTTTTTAGTTAGAAGAGCATAAAGTACAAAAAATATGAACAGCTCTAGCGCAAGGGAAATGTGAAGAAGAGCCAAAAACCACCCAACCCCTTTGTTATCTCACAGTTACTATCCCTTTGCATATAAAAAACCACTCTGCACATAACTAAGTAGAAAAGTATCCTTACCTACGGTTGCAATCAGAGGTATAAAAGAAAGGAAAAAGAAAGAAATTCCAGCTTCAGCCATCAGACTACGGAATGCCCTCCAGACTGAAATTTGTCTGGCACCGATGACATTTCGGCGCCAGGTCAAAACTTTCCTGTTCCAGAAGGCTTTTAACTGAAATAACATCAACTGTGGGTCCTGACAGCAATTTTAATTGTATTTTAACTGTATTTTTATTGAATTTTGATTGAATTTTAATTGCTATAAGCCGCCCAGAGATCTTTGGGTAGAGTGGGCGGCATATAAGTTAAATAAATAAATAAAATAAATATGTGAGTCTGAAACAACCATGCTAAGTACATGGTCCAGAGCTCAATCAGAGAGGGGGAGAGAGAGCAAACAAACAATCAGAAGCAAACAAACAGAAAGAGGGGGCTTGCCTCAAACTAGGGAAAAAGGATTTTGCTAATTGATTAGTGCAGAAAGCAATCGCCTTAGTTAGTAAAAACTCCCTCCTCCAATTGAAACCCAGTGTCAGGTTGCATGCAAGATTGTTATGATGCCAACAATCGTATGGCTTCAAGGTGTTGATCTTGATGTCCTAACAAGGACTAGGAAGAATGTGTTTGCCCACAGCATGAAGAACATCATCAGGAGGGCTTTAAACTGAATCAAGAAGGATGCTAACAAATTGGAACAGGTTCAGAGGAGGGTGACAATGATGATCAGGGGGCTGGAAACCAAGCCTTATGAGGAAAGGCTGAAAGAATTGGGCATGTTTACCTTTGAGAAAAGAAAACTGAGGGATGATATGATAGCACTTTTAAATATTTGAAAGGCTGTCATACAAAGGAGGGGCAGGATCTATTCACGATCTTCCCAGAGTGCAGGACACAGAAAAATGGGTTCAAGTAAAAGGAAGCAAGATTTCAGTTGAATATCAGGAAAAACTTCCTAACTGTTAGAGCAGTATGACAGTGGAACCAGTTACCTCTGGAGTTGGCGAGTTCTCCAACACTGGAGGAGTTCAAGAAAAACTTAGATAATCACCTGGCAGATATGCTTTACTTGTATTCCTGCATTGAGCAGGGGGCTGGACTTGATGGCCTTGTAGGCCCCTTCCAATTTCAGTTTTCTGTGATTCGATGTTTGTAAATGCCCACTTGCCCTTTCTTTCTGAGCTGCTTTACACCTCTCAGACAGTGTCATTTCAACTGCTCAACAGCAAACTGTTTAATGATTCGATGTTTGTAAATGCCCACTTGCCCCTTCTTTCTGAGCTGCTAAGACAGTGTCATTTTAACTGCTCAACAGCAAACTGTTTAAGAAAATGCAGTTTTGTTATAAAAGTTATTGGAACTCCAGGTAACATGATGGCTATGACACAGTTCATGCTTTGCCTTCAGATATTTGGGTATTATGTTTCCAGCAATCCCAGTCAGCATCAGCAGTGGTCAGCAGTACTGAGCATTGTGCCCTGGGATGGGGCAAACTGGAGTTAACAATACAAGGTCAGATGGATCAATGGTTATAGTCAACTTGAGTAGTTTTACATTAAGAATATTCACTGAAGGATATGGTATAAATACTATCAGGCTATAAAGAAGACATTAGGGTGCCCATCAATCCTCTTGAGAAAGAGCTCCCCCTGACTTGTCTCTCTCTGACTGTCATCCAGCAGGCTTTCCAACAGGCTCAGGAACCTCTCCTACAAATAAATAAATTCCCCATGACAACCACAAAGTTGGCCCATTTAGCAGCTGTGATACAGCTGTGTCCCTAGCAACATCACTCTATTGGTTACTGATCCAAGCTGACCTCATGGGTAGCTACTATAAAATTACCTCTGTCTGATGTCTGGCTCTTTATATTATCTTTAAAAAAATCTGCAAGGCATTTGCTAAGTGCACATGTCTTCAGAAAGTAGAATTTCCCCCCCCCATTAAATCATTAAATAATTATGACTGTAAATTGCATTCATTAACACTTATTAACTGAGCCCTGATAGGACGTGAAATACAAATGGCTTTTTTTGTGCTAATCTTAAGAGTGTGCAGCACATAGATTTTTTGGGGCCAAAAAAACTCAGCAACAGAAAAGTGGATGTGACTATATATACAGATGTGCATTACTGCCCACATAAATTTGATATCACTCTCTACAAATGGCACACATTTTTTTAACATTTCCAACAAACATTGCTGATCCCTTCTGACATTTTTGCCAATCCTAGATGAGACTACAATCCAAAACAGCCAGAGGGCAGCACACTGGGGAAGACTGCTACTCCTCCTCTCTCCTACATCACTTTCTTCTCATGAGAGAAGCCTAGCCAGAGAAGGCCAATTGTCCATCTAAACCTAGCCATGCGTTTCACTGGGCATAGTAGTTGTGCATTACCTCTGCTGTCAGTGACCTTGTGCTTCTTAATCTCAGCGGCTGGGAAACACTAGTAATATGACATAATTGCACTGACACTGTGCTTGTCAGCTTCCTCGTGTCATCTGGCTGGCCACTATGGGAAGAGAAGGTTGGACTGGGCAGGCTTTTGACCTGATCTGACATGGCTCATCTAGTGTTCTTCTGCAATCAGTTTCCTGATTGCCTTTGATGGGACATGGATCACCTGCAGAATTGTACTGGCGGAGCAAAGCCATTTCAAGAGTGCATCTTCTAGAAGAGCATTCAGTATCTCATGGATAATACGTATATACATCTAGCAAACTCTAGTTCTGATTCTGACAGCAGTCAAAGTACAGTTAGGAAAAGAAATGTTCTTTTGTTCAACTAAAGTGAAACAGACTCACTGTCACTGTGAAAAGGGAGTGACAAGGATATGAAGACTGGAATTATTTTACCTCTAAGGTAATTGTTAGCTTTCTAAAGATTCAGATTTTTTAAACTCTTATTTTGCACTGGACTACAAGTGTGAATGATTTTTTTAAAGTAAGATGTGCAAACAGAAAATCCTACAGATTAAGATGATCCTCTGGATGAAAGACAAGAGTGAAATGCTAAAAATGATCTTCCAACAAGCAACACAAAAAGTACAGAACTTCTGATAAAGAATTGCAAGAATACTATATATGTGACAGAACTGATGTTACATAGCATATTGGCAGAGTTTGGAAACTGCTGGCTGAAAACCTACCTACGCAGTTGCAGCTATTTCCACGTACCTTGTTTCCAATAGCCTTTTTTGGTGGAAAGTTAAAACTTCTCACTTGGTGGTAATTCATCTGTAATTTATGGTGCAGGCTTCTGAATTCAGTGTATCTGCGATAAACATTCCACTCATCATCCTTTATTCTAATATACACCTGTTAGAAGTAGATTGAAGAGAAAAATCAATTTAAATCAATAGCTCTACAATCTAAAACAGTGAGTACAGTACATTGTCATACAGTCAAAACACGATGACCATCAAACCAGAACATTATAATGCAATAAAAATTAAAGATTTCATTTCTATATTACTTCATGAATTGATGATTGTCATTCTTGCTTATAATATGAAACTAGGAGCTTTGCATAAAAATACACAATAGGGTATATTTTAGATAAAATCTTGCAATTTTTGTAGGCAAACACACACTTTTCATTTTCTCTTTGGAGTACCTACGTAATAGACTTATTTACTGCTAAATATAAAGCAACAACCAAAAGTGAGACGATTTCTTTTTCTGGACTTCAGCTTGTAAATTTCCCTAAGCAACACAGTACGCTGGCTGGGGGATTCTCGGAGTTGTGGTCCAAAAAAGGAACTTTCCGAAGCTCCAGCAAGAAGTTGAGAAATCACAATTTACACACTTGAAATATCACACTAAATTGAGTGTCGTCTTAATCCAGGTTTAAAACTATGCCAGAAGAGACTGACAGAGAAAATGATGATTCTAAGAAAAGAAAAGAAAAGGAACAGAGTTTTTGAGTGAAGAGATCGTTTAAAATTCGTTTCAGACTGCTACTGATTTGTTTTTCCATAATTATGTTCAGAAAATTGTTCTTTCAAAATATGATAAGTATCCCAAACTTATTCTGGGAGTTAAACTCCCCAGCCATTAAAATGCAGCTGCCATAAAGCCCTGTCATTCATTCCGCAGCAAAATACTGAATATTTTTCACTCTCTTGGGGGTAGCCAAATTCCAGTTGTCTCTGAGGGAAAGTGGTGGCGCTGTGGGCTAAACCGCAGGAGCCTGTGCTGCAGGGTCAGAAGACCAAGCAGTCGTAAGATCGAATCCACGCGACGGAGTGAGCGCCCGTCGTTTGTCCCAGCTCCCGCCAACCTAGTGGTTCGAAAGCATGTAAAAACGCAAGTAGATAAATAGGGACCACCTCGGTGGGAAGGTAACAGCGTTCCGTGTCTAAGTCGCACTGGCCATGTGACCACGGAAAGATTGTCTTCGGACAAAAATGCTGGCTCTATGGCTTGGAAACGGGGATGAGCACCAGCCCCCTAGAGTCGAACACGAGTGGACAAAAACTGTCAAGGGGAACCTTTACCTTTACCTGAGGGAAAGAGGCGTTGGTACAGTTCAACTGAAAGGTTAAAGCCTTTCTAGTGCCTATGTACGTGTTCATGCATGCATGTGTGCCTACACATGTGCAGATATTGTTTTAGGTGTCCTTCCAGATGACAGTGAATTCAAGCTCTCACCAGCTTTTGCCATACTAACGCTAAGGCAAGATCAGTAGCTGGATGGCCACAAACTCCATTTTTGAATGGCCACCACAGTGCTGAAAGATGTTGCATTTTAATTAAACATCTCCTTGGAAGCAGCAACTAACAAGGGAATCATCCTTACTTACAAACTTTCATAGGCTGCTATGTTCCCATAGCAGCCTATAAAGCATTCCCCAACACAGCAACACTAGAGATTACAATGCCCTACATACTGGCTGCAAAGCAAAATAGGCAACAATACCAAGAATAAAAAGAAATCCCACAGGCAAGGCACATAAGGTGCAATTGGACTTTAATAATCTGTGTGTGAATTGTTGCAACTATCTTCAACGAGGAACTATTAAGACTTTAGCTAGATAGCTAAAGCTTCTTTATTGATTTGTACTCAAGGGCATAGTGCCTCTGAAGCCTGGAACAGCATGTAGCCATCATAACTAGTGGCCACCAACGTTGAATTTTGCCATGAATTTTTCTAATCTCTTTTCAGAACTTGGAAGAGTTACTGTTTTGGACAACCGGCTCCAAGAATTCCAAAAGCAGCGCGGAAGGCCATGTTGGCTGGGAGATTCCAGGAACTATAATCCAAAAAAAAGTAAACCCAAGGTTCTTCTTTCAAAGCTAATGGCCATCACCAAAATTTTCTGCAGGATATTCCACAAAAGTGGCCGTCAATCAAACTTGACCTAGTGACCAAATTCCAATTTCGGATTCGTTAGGGGAGCATATTAAACGCAAAGTAAGAGCTGAGGGCACAGGGCATAGCCCATACCAAATGGACAGGGCCAGATGAAGTTTTTACCCATGTAGACATTTTACACAGTAGGCAGAAAAATCCTAGTTCAACCCTACACATGTCTGTGGAATAATAAGCCTCAGTGCGACATCTTCCTAGGTTGGAAATCTGAGCTCATTTCCATGCACTAGTTTCCTGGGCTTTAAGCAGACACTTATCTCAGATTACTGACTCAAGACAACAGCAGAAAATAAATTCAAGGGAGAATGTGATACCCTTGTGGACCAGAAAGATCCCTACTCAGTTTGATAGATTTATTGCGCACTGTGCAAAGAAGTGCTTCCATGTGTCTGTCGTGAACCTTCTGCCAGCCAGGTTCATTGATTGACTCTGTGGGAGCAACTGGACAGTCATTCGTTTCGCTGTTTGCATGACGCTCCTCACTGTTTCTTTTGATATTTATTCCACTGACGGCATGGCATAATGTATTCTGCCGATTGCACGATGTTGGTGCTAATTGCAAGGAGATCTAATCTTTCACTACGAGTACTAGATATATTTTGGTCAGCTGGCAGGACTTGAGTTTTCTGTCACATTTCCAGTCACACTGTTGAGTTTTGATTTTGGCTTGTGTGACCATCTCTCCTGATCATTTATGAATGCTGCTGCCTATGTCCAGATGAGACCACTGATAATGCAGAGTGGAAGTGAATCCTACTCCTTTTGCCTGCCTTTTGCTTGCACTGGTATTGGATCAGATAAACTGACACCCGACTATACCCTCAAGAGACCTATAGAACTTGATAGACCTTTAGAGAAAAATCAGAAGCCTGTATTCATCACAGCGGGCATTTTCCCTCCAAAAAGGGACAGTTCCAGAATGAAACCAAACAATCATTGACAATCATATCAAAATTCATCTGGGTATCAAGGTGTAAAGCTTTTCATTGTTGCAATAATTCCAGGCAACACCAGCTTGTCCAATTCTACAAGCTTTGTTTTCTACATTGCTTCTAGGCTCCATAAGCACCCATTTCAAACTTTGACACTGGCAACTGCTATGCAATTTTAAATTGTATTTTTAAACATATTTCACTCTTAGTTTAGTGCTATAGCCCTAGAACCCTAAACAGATACAGCACTAATTCAAATGCTTACCACATCTTGTATATTCAGTGATATTTCACAGCAAAAGGAGAAGGTTAGAGGGTGGTGATAACGGCAGAGAAGTCTGAGGGAGAAGAGGGGGGCTGTGTGACATGCAAACACTTGAAATGCATCTTACCAAGATAACTGAACATTTCTATGTGAACGGAGACAGTGGTACAAGTGCCAGCGTGTAGTATAGATCCGTTTGCAACAATCTGCAATTGACCTTTATGTTGCTACACCCTTAGTTCTAGTGTTATGACAGGCAGAACCCTCTACCCACACATAGTTCTGCAAGGCCCCATCATGACTCACTCAGCAGCCTTTCTTGAAAAGCTCTGAGGTATTCCAGAACAGTTACAAAGTGAGAGAAATATTAAATATACTGAAACTCCAAGCCATTTATGGGGACTGAGATTTAAGCCCTATTGAGTTCAATGGGACGTACTTCCACGGAAATGCGCAAAAGACGACATGCAGGTTATGTTATGCCTACAATTCCCTGTTCAGAGATTTAAATATATGAACTAAGCCAGAAAGATGTAGTACGTCCCTGAGATTTAATCATGTGTATTTTAATATCACTCCTGTGTGACATCCCACAGCACGTCCCTCAGGTAAGTACTGTCTCAAAATGATCCTTGTCCTTGTAATTTTTTTAAAAAAAATTATAAAAGACACCAGGTAAAACCTTTAGCAATTTACATGCCATCTTTTTAAAAATAAAATTACAGTGTATTGGGATCCTTAATTACTTAACAACAGGTTATAATTTAATACGCAACGTGATTCATCAGCACTGTGATTTTCTCTGCAGTGGAATACATAAAAATTGGATTTGTGTTAAAGGCATGATTAGAAAGGGGGAAAAAACAACTTGTGTTACAGTTATACAGTTATAGCACTACCTGCAAAAGGCACATATTTATGAAAAAGATGTGAATGAAAGAAGATACAAGTTCACAAAAATGCAGCTAAATGTTTCATGGTCTGCAGGGACAGCAGATTTTAGTTCCAGAACCGAGAGCTGGGGAGGAGAAGCAAGGCAGTGCCACAGTTAAAAGCTCTTTCTGGTGATGTCCTGATGCTTTGGCCTTCGGCATGCATAATCCCTATCATTGGCCATGTTATAGCTGGTGGACGTTGCAGTCCAAAACATCCAGAAGGCACGTGGGCAACGCTCTTAGCATCCTCACTTGTTCTCCTTTACTCCTTTTCTTCACAGATTTTGCATTGCACTTATAATGCAAAACATTGGAGCACTTGATCTTACGCTGGGGGAAATTTGTTCCTCCATGGAGTTCTATGGAAAAACTAGTAATTAAAACTGTATGCATCTCAATAGTGTAGCTATAATATTTTAAAGCTAATGTAACTGGAAGTTTCAACCATTTATCAACATTCTGAGAACCTGGCTTTTGTTTGAGAGTTCAAAGAAGGGAACAATAAGTTTTTAAGTTGCTGTTGTAGTTATGGAGAAAATATCTGAAATATTATCTGAAACCCACAAGCTGACAACCCATTTATTTGTACTGTACCACACTGAGGACCCCTCCTTCATTAACCACTAGTTAGGAATCTTAAATTTGCACGGACTGGATGATTCCACTGGACCAACACCATTGTTTAGTCCCAACTAGAGTAAACCTACTGAATTAACAGAACTTGCTAAACCAAGACTCAGCATATATCCAGTGATTCAAATGGTCAGTTCCAACCAGGACTAATAAATGAATTAGACCTAAATAAATAAATA